CCAAAAAAAAAAAAAAAAAACAGGATAAAATGACTGATGATCTGAGAGATGATCTGGGACACTTGTAAAAATAATTACATATATATTTTAATACATAAGCAGATATAAACATGCTTTTATATTATTGTCATATATATATATATATATATATATATATATATAACTATCATGTTAATGCATTAACATTAATATATTAATATCAATATATTAATATATTTTAATATATAATTTAATATATTAATAAATATAATGATACATACTTATATTATTTTATAAAATAAAATAATAGTAATAATGTCATTATTTTAAATAATAAATCTGAAAGGGACAATTTACACAATGCAAATTTTTGGAGTGAAAGACATCATACATTCAAGCAGTGTATTCCTACGGACCTACAAAGAAATTTGCAAGGTAAAGAGGCGTTTTTTGTCAATTTGCATGTTGTCATTTTGCTGTTCTTGTGAATAGGCCTTCAAACATTACTTGCCTTTGTGTTTCTCCATTTCTGCCATGCACATGGAGAACATCCACAGCGGGTGTGTGGTGGGACGGGTAAATCCCAGCCAAACAAACACAGGCAGAGGGCAAAGGTCACCATACACCCAGGTGCTCCGCACACCTGAGGACCAAGGAACAGCCAGGCTGATGCATCTCTCTGAGACTGGATCTGGAAAAAGACACCGGTTCAGTTCATACAGTAAATGAAAATGTCTGATGAAAGTGTCCTGCATTAGGACATGTAAAAACAGCTCCTCACAGCGACTGATATGCCTGCAGTCTTCAATACCATTGGCTCCCTTACCGTGGGTGATCTCTAAGTCAGGCTGAGCATCAGGTCTGTATGTATTGTTAGGAGAGAGTAGAGTCAGTGTGCTGCTCCAAACGGTCTGCTGATCTCTAGATGCAGTTAAAACGAGATCCACCTCCACTCCAGCACTAACAGTCCTGTACTCCAGCACTCTGGCCTGCTGGGAGAACGTCCCTCTCTTCAGCTCATCCAAGGCATCGCTCAGACTCAAACTCTCACAGACACTCAACAGACCTGCAGAAAGTAGCAGTGATTCTCCTTTTAATGGCCATCAGTGGGGCATAACCAGGGTTATTATAGTTAACTCAAACAAAAACAATAAAAAAATTTTCATTACTTTGAATAAAGTAAATATTATCTGAAATTAAATATATTATAAAATATAATAAATATTTGTTTTTAATTTCAGCTTGCTGCCAAGGCAACATTTTCATTAGTTTAACTAAAAAAACGAAATAAACATGTTTAAAAAAAATTAAAACTAATAAAAATGACAACAAAAATGTTCAAAAATGAAAACAGAATATATAAAAATGACAACTAATTCAAAAGTATTAATAAAAACTATAATACTACACTAGGCATAGCACATTTAATTATCATATTTTATCACATAATCATCACATATTTATTCTCATCTCTTGGGTTATGTGCCTTTAGCAGTAAAAAGATTTTCTTTGTAATTGATCTGGATTCTGTAAGTTTATTAACAGATATATAATATTTCTCCACAGCTCTCTGGACTATTTGATTGGTCAGTAAAGGCATTCTGGTAACAAATATTTCTTGTACAATATTTTCATACGTCAAATTGCTGTTTATTTTGTGATAATGACCAGCTGATATTATATTATTATACACTGATTGTATATTATACGCTGCAATAATATACAATGATTGATTTGAGAAATTTTATTTAAGAATTCTAAAGGAATTATTATTGAATTTGTATCATATAGAGGTCAAATAAAAATCATATATGAATTAAATAAAATCTGACCAGAAAAACAAAAATATATTTTTGAACAAATAAGTTCAGTAGTAGGCTCTTATTTGATTCGAGGATTTGATAAGATCAGTAGGACTGATTCTGAATATGTTCAAAGTTCCTTTCTATTTATTGACAGGGGTTGTGCTTGACCCATGTGCTGAAAAGGGCCAGAAGATCTTACCCAAAGGGCTTAGTTTGAATCTCTCCGAGCACATAATCATAGTGAGAAGTCTGGTGAAGAGAAACTCAGGGTAGCACAAGGGAACGTCTCTGAAGACACTGTCAGGATAGTCCCAACCATAACCTGAAACACTGCAGAACCTCCTCAAAGACACGGCATCATACCTACAGACAAATCCACAACAATTAACAACTGGAAAACACCTTATAATTAACATTTTTAACATTATATGAAAATATATAATGAGTGGCCATTAAAATATACAGTACATGTACTCTATTATCATTTAGTTTGTAAATAAAATATCAAACATAAAATATACAAACAATAAAGTTTTTTTTAAATATATTATATATTACATGTACATTAAAGTTTCTTGAAGTCAACAACTTTACCTGCAGTTGACCAAAGTGAAAACAAGCTCGTCATTTGTGTCTTTGTTTTTCCTCATTGTTCCTCGTTTTTTGCGGAGAGATTCATAAATGTATCTGGTCATGAGGTAAACTGAACCTGGCAAATGCTTCTGGGAGTCAAAGACTGTGTGCGTTTTTTTAAATGAGATGTGAGAAGCGTAAAAGACTGAGTGAAAGAGATACAACACCGTTACACCTGACACCACGGCGATAAGTGTGCTAAAATGATCCATATTCCGGTTCATCATTCACATTCTTTACAAAAACAAGTTAGAAGAAATGCTATCGATGAGGCAAAGTTCAAAGTCATTTGATGCTACTTTGTTGCGCGTTTCTTCTCTCTGTTGACATTTTGATCCTGGTTTTAAAAGAGAGAGCAGCGCTTTATCGCCCTCTAGTGTCTGGGAATGTCAATTACAAAGCCACAGCGCTGCAGACGTAAGAACGGGACAACTAACTAACTATATATATATATATATATATATATATATATATATTATTGCGTTACTTATTTGAAAAAGTAACTCAGATATTCTCTTGTAAATTAAAAAGTAATGCGTTACTTTACTAGTTACTTGAAAAAAGTAATCTGATTACGTAACTCGCGTTAGTTGTAATATATTACCCCCAACACTGATTACGTGTATTCGTTATTTTAATAATTACAACAATAATAATTATTATTATTATTAGGCTATTATTATTATTATTATTGTTATATAATTAATTCTTAATATTAATTAGGCCTATGACTTTTTAGTAGTAGCCGAACTAAAATGTAGTATTAATAAAAAAATAATTAAATTATAGGAATGAATTCAATTACACAGTCTATTAAACGTATTTTCACTATTAAATCTGTCATCACTCATTGGTCTGCTGTCATCTGATCAATTAAGCCGCATCGATCTCAGCTGTTCGCTCGATTAAAGCGCCACATCTCGACCCGACACGGGTTGACCCGCTTTTCCCTGCTGTCATGTGTTTGTTTGTGCTGCTGAATGTCGCTTCAGGGATCTTTCTGCTTCTGAGAGGTCAGATGCGAGTCTCACATTAACCTTCAGTCTAACATTTACCTTCTTGTCTAGAAATTGAGCAATAGGTAAAGTCACTGAATGCGACAAACTAATACCAATCGAGACTATTTCCTATTTACTTATTAAGAGCTACTGTACATAGTAGGCTATCTTTGTAATTTTCATTCTTCGAGGCACTGCCTTTATTTGCATACGTTAAAATAGGCTACAAAATCTAGCTAAAATTTGAAGCTGCCTGAATGCCAATCTCATAAAACCTATTAAATACCAGGTTGCATTATGATCATGCAGGCAATTGTTCTTATTTAACTTTTTTTTTGCGTTGTGGCATTACTTTAATAACAGTTTCTCCCTCAACAAAAACTACAATTATGTGAAGACTGTGCTTATACATCTTGGTAGTATTTGTAGTAATGTCTTTAATTTGTGTTCATTTAAATAGAAAATGAATTTCAAATGACTGCTTTACTGTATAATGGGAATCTGTGCTGAGATTGCATGAGATTCATTTGCTTTGACTTGTTTGTGCTCTAGCTGAATGTGTGCAGGCAGCAGTTGCTTCTGATCGTGTTCCCCTGCACTGCAGACTGGGCTTCAAACCCTGTAAGGATGGAGCAGAGTGTGTGCTGTACAGTCATGTGTGTGACGGGGAGAATGACTGTCTTGACGGCTCTGATGAAGAAGAATGTGCTGCTGTTTGCAGCATAGGTATGTTTTTATACACTTTTATTAGAGGACCATTTTTGGCACTCAAACTGATTTCCAGGGGCCTAGAATAAAGAATAAAGGTCTAAATTTAAGATTTGAATTTGATTCCATATTAAAAATTCCATCTATTTACACATTTTTAACACAAACTGTTAAACGCTTTTAACATAGGCTTAAACTAATAAACAATGTGATGCATATTTGTCAGTTATTAAACATGCAAGATTTCTGCACTCAAAAAAGGGCATAATTTATTAACTATTTGCAACTATTTTATTCAAATAATCATTTTTTTTTTAATGCATTTATTCAAATGGCTTAGAATCAATAAATCTGTTCATTGTGGAAACAATAAATTGATGCTCAGATTAACTGGTTAAGTTCTGATGACCATTTTTTCGATTTGGAAAGCAAATCTGCACATTGATAAAAAGATAAAAACGAATTGGTAGGCTGCCTGATTTATTTATTTTTTTAGTTTGCAAAATTCAAAAGCATTATATTTTTTAAAGTGTGAAGTGACATGTGGCCAAGTATGGTTACCCATACTCGGAATTAGTGCTCTGCATTTAACCCAGCCTAAGTGCACACACACAGCATTGAACACACACCCGGAGCAGTGGGCAGCCATTTATGCTGTGGTGCCCGGGGAGCAGTTGGAAGTTAGGTGCCTTGCTCAAGGGTACCTCAGTCGTGGTATTGAAGGTGAGAGAGAGCGCTGTACATTCACTCCCCCCACCTACAATTCCTGCCGGACCTGAGACTCGAACCCACAACCTTTGGGTTACGAGTCCGACTCTCTAACCCAGGGCTGTCCAAACTCGGTCCTGGAGGGCCGGTGTCCTGCAGAGGTTGCAGGACACCGGCCCTCCAGGACCGAGTTTGGACAGCCCTGATCTAACCATTAGGCCACAACTTCCCCCTTTTTCCATCTGTTCTCAGGTCAGTTTCAGTGTGCACATGGTAAGAAGTGCATCGAGCGCCGGCAGGTGTGTGACGGTGTGGCTCAGTGTCAGGATCGCTCAGATGAAGTCGACTGCTTCAAGCCGGACGAGGGCTGCGGTCATCGCTGCGATAAAAACCGCTGCATCCCAGAATCCTTTGTCTGTGACGGAGACGCAGACTGTGCTGACGGCAGTGATGAGGAAATCTGTGGTAGGGGTTTGAATTAGGTTAAAAAGCAGTATTACTGGATTGTAACTAGAACGAAGTGTAAAATCATCTGGCTGAATCTGGTTCAGAATGTAAACAAGCACACTTATTAGTGCATACTACCTACTATTTTTCACATAATGGTATGTGAAACTATATGCTACAATAAACATTTTCAAAAGTAGTGAGGTGAATTCAGGTAAATCGGGCCATTTTTTGTCATTGAGATGACTGGGGAAAAACGACTTATCCTGAATTAACCCTACACTCTGAGGGGGGAAAAGGTATAAAAGCTGACCTTTCAAAAGGTTCAAATATGTACCATTTAGGTACTACTAATATGTACCATTAGAGGTAAACGGTGTACACGGGTGTACCTTTTGAGAAGGTACTGCCCCAGTGACAGTTTTTGTACCTTTCTTTCTGAGAGTGTTACATTTGTCACATGATCTCATTACATTGCGTAGGTAAAGGTGCAGTATGTAATGTTGACAGCTACTGGTTGAAATGGGTACTGCAGTCCAAATTTCAAAATATTGGAGAGGGTTGTCTCTCCTGGGGCCTGTTTCATAAGTTTACCAAATAAGCCAGGCTTCAGTTAGTCTGACACATTGTCAGTTGATTTGGTTCAAAATAAGTCAGACTAATTGAAATAAGCCTGGCTTATTTGGTAAACTTGTTTTATGAAACAGGCCCCTGCTCCCTCCTCCTCAGCGCTCACACGGGTTGCCAGGTTGAAGACACACAACATGAATGAGTGCAATTAACAATGGAAGGCAACAAAGCGATGTTTTTTAGATGGATGCCAAGGCTTTATAGGTCGGGTAGAATCTGTGATCTCTGACACAGTTCCTTTGCTGGCTTCCATGGCTGTAATGCGCTGTGTTTTCCACCAACTGGCAACCCAGGGTAAATTGGCAGTGGACTGAATCACACAGACCAAAACAAAAACAGACATTCTGACACAGAACATGCATTTCAAAGATGAATAACTGGCTGTAGCATTGATTTTCAGAGAAACAAGTATGTGAACTTTGCACATTTCCTAAATATCTGCAAACATGTTTTTTTTTTTTTTTTTGCTTTAGTGCAGACAAAATTACATGCAGCACCCTTAAAGGTATAGTCAACCAAAAAATGAAAAGTGTCGTTATTTACTCGCCCTCATGTCATTCCAAACTTTTATGCATTTTTCATCTGTGGAACATATTTTGTATGGAAGCATATAGGTAGCGAAATTCAATTTAAAATAGATATAAAGACACTTCCCAATTTAAAAAAAATAAAAGTTTCTCTCATTTAATGTCTTGTTGGACTCAGAAATTGGTCATATTACAGAAGGAAAAAGCATTTTGTGTTTATTAGAACTTTCAAGTTTAAAAAGTGTGTTTGGGGTTCTGATTAGCTATACTTTCAAGAATCCCGATTTAGAAATGAATTTTGTGAGTCACTCCACAGGAATAACTGGCGGGACATTTGTCTAGAGTCTAGACTAAAATGAAGGAAATCTACAGTTCAAAAATTTGGGGTTGGTAAGATTTTTTTATGTTTTTGAAAAGTTTCTTTTTCACCAAGGCTGCATTTATGTAATCAAAAATACAGTTAAAACTGTTATAAAACATGAAAATTGTTTTCTTTGTGAATATATTTTAAAATGTAATTTATTCACCCTGTGACCTCATATGAGGACATTATATTTTAGTGAATTTCTCTGAGACTGTACATGCCACAGTTTTAATTCTTTAATTCATACTTTAATTCACCATGACCACTCCCTCTCCTTGGTCTTCAAAAATGTTTGATATTAATTTAGTGACACTCTTATGGAAATATGATAATATTTTGTAATTGTCATTTAAATCGGACAAATTTTTAAACTGTGTGTCATAAATCAACATCTCAGGAAAATGTTATGGGGTTTCAAATCAAAATATGATTTTCTGTTACGAAACAGGACGTTGATTTCATACATGTCCTCATATGAGGACACCGGGACTAAAAGCATGTTTATTACGCATTTTGGGAGACACAACAAATGAACAGGGAAAGAAATTATATTTCAATATTCCTATGAAATATTATATATAATTATGAAAATCTTGTCAATTATTGCTCCCATTATTACAATTTTTTTTTTCAATACATGTTGCCCCAAAAACACATTAATATGCAAATTAGATTTAGATTATAGATACATTATATATAATGAGAAAACCTGTTTATGGCCATTTTACACACATGTTGCATAAAGAAAAATGGTATATCAAATCATTCTGTTATAACATGGTTGAGAATTATCTTTATACAAAGTTGGTAAAAAAAAAAAAAATCCTGAAAACTACATTTATTTTATTTTTTTAAAAATCAATTGTTTTTGCTTATGCATGTTCATTCATGTCTTTTTATAAAAAAAAATAAAACATTTGAGTCCCGATGTCCTCTGCCAAGGACGTAGCATAACTTATGAATGAAATATCATTTAAAAAAAAATTCACTTTATTTATTTATTTTTTTTTAATGCTCTAAACAATGTAATGACATGGAAAAAATACTAATTTTTTTCCTAAAATGATTTGCCGGGTCTCAAAAGGCTAATATACCGATTTGTAACATTTCTTATTATCAATAATTTTGTGAAAATTGATATATTTTCAGGGTTCTTTGATTAATAGAAAGTTCAAAAGAGCAGCATTTGTTTTAAATGGAAATCTTTTATAAAAATGTAAAAGTCGGTCACATTTTATCAATTTTATGGATCCTTGCCGACTAAAAATATTTACTTTTTACTGACCCTAAATTTTTGAATGATAGTGTAATATCATTAAATCACCTCTGAAACCCCCAACTGCATAATGTTTGTAAATAGCATTTCTGTCCAACTTTTGATGTTTTTCTGTATTCTGCCAATTATTCCTGTGGAATGACTCTCAAAGTCCATTTGAAAAGAATCTGAAGCTGGTGTGTTTTGACAGGTCCGAGTGTGTCCTGTCCTCCTCATCTGTTCCAGTGTGGTAGTTCAGGGTGTGTGGACCCGTCTCAGCTCTGTAATGGAGTCACTAACTGTCTGGACGTTTCTGATGAGGGCGGGACCTGCCAGACAGACAAATGCTCTGAACAGTCAAAGTGTGCACAGGACTGCCACAGCACACCTACAGGCACGGTATGAATTCCTCTTTCTGTTAATGTTAGAAAATGTCTGCTTTGAATATTAAAATCTACCAGTCATAGAAATTTTGACTAATAATAACTTGCACTACAGTTCAAAAGTTTGGGGACGATAAGATGTTTCTAATGTAGTTGAAAGAAGTCTCTGTACCAAGGCTGCATTTATTTGGGAAAAAAAATACAGTAAAAAAATGTAATGTGAAATATTACAATTTAAAACAACTTTTTATTTTAATACATTTTAAAATATAATTTATTACAGTGATGGTAAAGCTGGATTTTTCAGAAGCCATTAAGCCATTCTAGTCTTAAGTGTCACATGATCCATCATAAATAATTCTAATATGCTGATTTGCTGCTCCAGAAACATTTCTTATCAATGTTGCTTAATGTTTTTGTGGAAACAGTGCATCCTTTTTTCAGGGTTCTTTGATGAATAGAAAGTTCAAAGAAACAGCGTTTATATGAAATATAAATATTTTGTAACATTATAAATGTCTTTACTGTCATTTTTAAATCTATTTAGCACTGCTGAATAAAAGTAATTGGTTTGGGAAAAACAATTATACTGACCCCAAACTTTTGAATGAACTGTTAAAGCAATAACCCCCAAGAAGCCGTGGTTTACTGTGAATTTATAACAGCTAAGGGGCGTTGTTAGGCACGACGCAAAGCGGATTGCTTTTATAAAAATTCCATATACGTAGTAAGGTTTCACAGAATAAAACAGCAAATAAAGTGTAATGATATAAATAAAAACAGTATTCTTCCACCAAACAATGTAGTTCCTCAGAAACGGTTGTGGTTCCAACAAAGTGGTTGCCGAGCAACACACAGAAGTAAACCAAGGTGTGTGTTTGTAGTGTAATTTACAACAGCTTCGAACGCTGCTCAACCAATCAGAATCAAGGACCGGAACTCTCCGTTTTATAATAAGTTTAGCACTTTAGGTTTTGAAGGATCTAAATAATAATTTCTACAACCATTGACCACAGTCAGATGTTAATACATTACACTCTAAGGTTTGAGATGTCAAAAAAATATATATATTTTTTGGGGGGGGAAAATAATTGTCAAGTGTTCCAAAGATAATACAACCCTAATCTGATAAGAATTTGTAGGATGGAATAAAAAAAATTTCAGTAAATTTGATGAATGACCTCAATGACTCTAAAAGGCATAATTGAAAAGCATTTTATCAATGTTGACCAGTTGGTGGCAGTAGCCACTATGTAAACATACTGTAGACGTTATATAAATAAGCTTCGTTTCTGTATAGTACACCAATATCAGATGCAACCTCTCTCACTTTGGTGCTTGGCCTTTTATTAATAAGCAATTAATTAATAGGCAGTTTCTTACCATTTTGTGCTTCCTGTCCACTGCTTTTATCTTCCTTCTATAGCGCTGTTGGTGCAGGATGGGCTACAAGCCTGTGGATGATGGTGTGGTGTGTGTTGATGTGGATGAGTGTGTGGACCGTCCAGACTTCTGTTCACACTACTGTAACAACACTCAGGGCTCATTTGAGTGCTCTTGTAGTCACGGTTATGTTCTGGAACCTGATGGCCACAGTTGCAAAATCACAGGTATATACATTCCGAGCAAGAGCAAATATATAAAACATAGGCCATGTTCAGAATGGCATGCAAACGGAGCTGTATACACTCTATATTTTATAAAAATGGTAAGAGTGTATGCATTAGGCAACAAAATGTAGTATGCTATATAAATGCGTCATTCATTCATTCAAAAAAGTGCATTGCATTGTGGGCTAGAATATTTCACATGAGTGTTCAGATCATGAGTATGGCTTGAATGCACATTATAATGCACTTTCTCAATATAATGAAATTTCTAATACACTCATGCACTTCAAGATATATCCATTCACCCTTCTTTACTCAAGCTGAGACTCTAGTTGAAAGTTGTGCTCCTGTCTCAGGTGAGCCGTACCTGCTGGCGTCTGTGCAGTCTGAGGTCTTCCTGCTGGGTCTGAGGAGCTCCAGTCTGGACGTCCTGCTCTCGTCAGAGAAGCATTTTGTCCCGTCACTTGACTATGACTGGCAGAAGCAGAGAGTGTACTGGATCAACCTCAACGCTGACAACATAAAATGGTTGTCACTGGATCAGAAGAGCAAAGGAACCTTTATTAAAGGTCAGTGTTATTGTTAACTACAAGTACATACCTAAACATGCATACAAATACATACACATGTGTATGTATATTAAAATCGTTTTTTGTAAGTGAAATTAAATAAAATATACAATATAAATATTACATAATAAATTTAAATGTAAAAAAAAAAAAAGTTTTTTAAATTAGAAATATTTCCTTGGCAACTAAATTATAAAAATCACAATTTTGAACTAAAATAAAAAACTTAAAAATATAAATTAAAATTGTTTTATGCTTTATGAACTTTGCAACATTAACACTGTTACTGTATGGAACCGAAACAACATTGAACTAAATTGAACTGAATAATGACACCATTGTCTTTTTAGAGCTGCTTTACAGCTGAAATTGCTGCTTTGAAACTGTCTGTATTGTATAAAGCACTTTATAAAATAAAATCTGATTTGATTTTACATACTGCCTGATCATGACTAGACTGGTCATGTTGCAGAAACACAAAACGGGTGTAAATAAGGCTGGTCATGTGTTGATGTATTAAAGTTTTGACATCACAGAATTGGGAATGACCTGTAAGCGTGCGTGTGTGTGTGTGTGTGTGTAGTGGGACTGGCTCCGATCGCCACCAGAACCACAGAAGGTGTGGTGATCCTGGGTGAAGATCTAGGGCAGCTCCGCTCCATCGCTCTGCTGCCACAGGAAGGGTTTGAATAATCATGCTTTTGTCACATTTTTTTATTTATTTACAGAGCCACCAGTGGGCACTACAAAGCATGAGAATCACTGTTTTAGCATGTTACTTACGATGTAAGTTGGCCCTGATATTTTTGTCTTTCTTTCAGAAAGATGTTCTGGTCAGAATCTGGGGACGAGGCTCAAATAGAAAGAGCAGGAATGGACGGCTCAGACAGACGTGTGCTGGTCAGTCACTCTCTCCGATGGCCGGTCAGTTTGACGGTGGACTCCCTGCATCACAGAATCTACTGGACGGATGAGAAACTCAAGTGCATCGGATCAGCCGATACTGATGGAGGAGATATTAAGGTAGTGGATGTGTCCACCTCAGCATCTTCGAAAATGTCTAATAGGGCGAAACATTACATGATCTGCTAATCTGTTTGCAGTAGCCTTCCTTGTAGAATGTTTCTGGATAAACATTCCTGTCCATCAGTCTAATGTTAAGAGTCTTTTAGATGGAGTGGTGGATGAAGTACACAAATCAATTACCTGAGTACAGACACCCTAATCAAATTGTAATTACTCCTTTTCAGTTTTGTGGGTTTTAAGAATGTTGGTAACCAAACAGTTGATGTAGCCACTGACTTGCATAGTACCCCCCCCCACTGTTTGGTTACCCAATACCCACATTCTTCAAAATATCTCCAATATATAATGATGGCAGAATTTTCATTTTGGGTGAGCTATCCCTTTAAGTACTGTCCACCACTGGATAGATATGGGTCTTTAATGAAATGAAAAGGATCCAAGAGTCAAAAATGATTTAGATTCCAGCATCTTTTAAAAACATTTTTCAGACATTTTCCCTTTCCATCTTCCATAATTCCGCAGCTCTTGCAAATGATGGAGACCCCCAGTCCATTCTCAGTGTCTGTATTCAATGATGAGGTCTACTGGTCTGATACCAAAAGAGGAACCATTCAGAGAGCTCACAAAATCACGGGCAAATTACACCAAGTCCTGCTCAAACGTCCTGGACAGCCGTTCGGTTTGAAGGCAAGTACTCCTGAACACTGTGATCATTAAATTCAAATGAAACCCCTCAGACATTTGTAAAGTACAGGCTATATTTGCTTGCTTTGAACGATGCATAAGATGTAAATCAGGTAACTGCTGCTTGTGTGCATCTGCAGGTCATTCATGCACTTTTCCAAGTGGGCATCCCTAACCCATGTGCTTCCCAGCACTGCTCTCACCTGTGTGTTTTATCGCCGGGGCTGAAGGCTGTGTGCAAGTGTCCGTCTCAGTTGCTGCTGGATAAAGATGGACTGACCTGCTCCAAACACAAAGACTCGTCCTTCCTGCTGTTTCTTTCTCCAACTGCAGTCACACAGGTGTTGCTGTTAATACCTTATGGTCAAAGCTAGACGTTAGAAGTCATATATGTTCATTAATTGACTAATTCATAATAGTGCAGTTCATGTCATTTGTCTTAGGATTAGACTATGCAATGCTTAATCAAGAAATGACAATTCAAACTTTTTCTTTGATTCTAGCATAAGGTCAGAAATAGGATTAGGACTGTTTCTGTTTGACAGCAGTGTTGTGGTGTTTCGGGACCAACAAAAGATTATCATTTTTTTTAACATCACAATTTATTAAAATAATAATAGTAATACATGGTCTCAGCCCTGCTTATGTTTACAAATTATCAGGCCCGGCTCCAGAATCAAATCACTGAGGGTGCTGCTTAAATTAGTGAGAATTCTGTACCCCATATATATATACAGTATATATATATAATTTGTGTATTGCTATGGCGCAAATAACGCTTCCTTTATAATCACTCGCGATCTCATGAAGTTACGTGATAATCAATTAAATTCTCTATGCTGCACAATGACTCTCTTATTTACATCGCGTCTAGTTATAATTAAATGATTTGTGCTGAACAGACCACCTGAACAAAAACTCCAGCGATTTGAGCGCTGAGGTCATTCTAACTGATCCGCTGTTGCATTCAAGAAATAAGCAGATATGTCTGTAATTAGCTACATTGCTCAACGCTGCAAATAAATAGAAACCGATCATATATGATGTAAACAAAAACTTTTTTATTTTGGATGCCATTAATCGTGATTAATTGTTTGACAGCACTAATGTGGTGCGTAAGTGTATTAGACTTTAATACAATTTGTCTCTCTCAGATTTATTTACAGAACAGACACGCCGCCATGGACCTAAAGAACTGGCCTGAACATCGGCGTTTTGACCTTCCCAGCATGAACAAGCCAACCATGTTAGATTTAGTGCTGCACGACCTCACTCTGTACGTGTCCGATGGCGGGCAGCCTGTCGTGGGGCTCTTCAAGATGAAGGACACAGCGCTGGTGCCTCGTGGGACACTGCTCCAGCTACATAAGGACTCGCTGCGCACGTTCTCAGTGGACTGGATCACCCTGAACATGTACTGGAGCAGCGAGAAGCTGCCTGGCCTGCAGGTCACCTCACCAGATGGCACACACACCAGTGTGTTAATACAGGACGGTGTCGGAGCCATTGAATCCATTGCTTTAGACCCACCCAGCGGACGCCTCTGCTTCTCAAACAAAGTCCAGGAAGGTCACATGACCCAGGTGGAGTGTGCCTATATGAATGGACAGAACAGGACAGTGGTGTGGAGTAATTCAGTCCAGCCAACTTCACTGATCTTGACAGATGAAGGGAATAAACTGTACTGGGCTGACACTGGTATGTTTTATATACTCTCATATGCTCACCAAAGCTGCATTTATTTGATGAAAAATACAGTAAAAACAGGAATACTGTAAATGTTATTAGAATATTTTATTATTGAATACATAAAATGTAACTTATTCCAGTGATGCAACGCTAAAATTTCAGCATCATTACTCCATTCTTCAGTGTCACATGATTCATCAGAAATCATTTTAATATGCTGATTTGCTGCTCAAACATTTTTTTTATTATCAATGTTGGAAACAGTTGTGCTGAATATTTTTGTTGAAATCGTGATACACTACCACTCAGGACTTTGGGGGTAAGAAACACAAAATCCACAAAAAGCAAAAACATTTTCAACACTGATAATAAGAACCATTATTAATGAGCTAAAAATCAGCATATTAGAATGATTTCTGAAGGATCATGTCACATGTGACACTGAAGACAGGAGTCCAAGATTGAGCAGGGGTCACTCATCATCTTCTGACTAGCACAAAGATAAAACAAATTTTTATCCAAGCCAAAGTATAAGCTATATTCAGTAAGTGACTCAGAAGAATGATTTAAATGAATAGCTCATGAGTTTCATTAAAAACAACTTAAGAAGTCATTTGTTTGCAAATCGGACTATGCTGGTCGAGACTACTGGACTTCAGGACTAAGATAAAAAAAAATAATAAAAAATGTAAATCTCATATGCTCACCAAAGCTGCATTTATTTGATGAAAAATACAGTAAAAACAGTAATACTGTAAATGTTATTAGAATATTTTATTATTGAATACATAAAATGTAACTTATTCCAGTGATGCAAAGCTAAAATTTCAGCATCATTACTCCATGAAGACTGGAGTAAAGAATGTAGAAAATAGTTATTTTAAACTATATAATAAACAATAATATTTTACTATATTTTTGACCACATTTTGTGTGTGTGTGTGTATATATATATA